CAGAACACAGCAAAGTCCCTGTCTCTACACTTATCCATCGCAGCGACGGACGACGCTCGCGAGAGGAGCAGGCTCAGCGCCAGCAGTACCTCAGCCGAGCGGAGGAGAAAGCTCTGGTACAATTTTTGTTGCTAATGTCTAATCTTGGCCACCCAGTGCGAATCAAGTTCATACGCTTGCTAGCTTGTAGTATAGCGCACCAGCGGTCTACGAAGACGCAACCGATCAAGCCCCCGGGCAAGAATTGGCCGAAAGCCTTCGCGGAGCGTCACCCAGAGCTGCAAGCGAGAAAAGTCAAGTCGATAGACTGGAAACGTCACGAGAACAACGTATATGGCAAGATAGTCGAGTGGTTCGATATAATCGGGCAGGTGCTACAGAACCCAGCTGTCTTGCCAGAGAACGTGTACAACATGGACGAGACGGGCGTCATGCTAAGCATGCTTGGCTCGGTCAAGGTCCTGGTAGGTAAGGATGATCGGCGGAACTATAGAGGTGGGGGCGTAAAGCGGACGATGGTCACCGCGGTCGAGTGCGTGAGTGCAGATGGTAGGGCGCTGCTGCCACTCATTATATGGCCCGCTTCAACCCATCGCAGCGACTGGACTACCCACAAGACTCCTGGATGGCACTATGGATTCTCTGACAACGGCTACAATGACTCTAAGATTAACTTAGAGTGGCTCACGCGCGTGTTTGATCCTCAAACCAGAGCACGAGCTAATGGGAAGCCACGTGTGCTAATCTGCGATGGCTTTGGAAGCCATGAAACACTCGAGATCCTGGAGTTCTGTCTTACTAACAACATCATCCTATGTCGTCTGCCCTCCTACACATCTCATAAGCTACAGCCCTGCGATGTCGGACCTTTCGCACCCTTGAAGACAGCATACCGAGATGAAACCCTGAAGTGAGAGCAAGTGTGATTATGTTCTATCTATGCCTCAGGCTCTATATATATATATATATAGTCAACTGGTGTGCCGTCGCACCATTGTATGAGGAGATTGTCACACCAGTGTTTGGTTATGCATGTCACGTGATCTGGAATCCAACTTACCGTGATCAGGTCGAACGACTTAATCGGGGAGGCATAGATGTAGTCGGCAAAGAGCATTTTACCTATCTGTACAGTCCCGCTAGAGATACGGCGCTGACTAAAAGAAACATCAGAGCTGGGTGGTTGGCGACCGGTTTGTACCCTTTCAATCTGGAAAGAGTGCTGAAAGACGTCCCGAGACCTCCAGTTGAAGTCGTCATTCCAGAGGCTGCCATTACGAGCACCAGTACGCCTGATGTAATGCTTCAAACACCCATCACACCGGTGACGCCGGTGACAGCGGAAGCGCTTACGTCGTTGCACAACGTGATTAAGCAAGACACCAATATGCCTGACGAGACAAAGACTCGCATACAGAAACTCGCAAATGCTGCTCAGATCTCGTTCGCTGAGCGAGCCCTCCTGAAGGATCGAAACCGATTTCTTTTCAAGATAAACAACGAAGCTAAGGCTCGTAGGTCGACCAGGTCCATCGTGCTAGGAAAAGCGAAAGTGATGAGTTTTGAGGACCTGGAAGAGGCGAAGGTGAGGCGCGCGGCAAAGGACAAGGCTGCAGCACAGAAGGGACAGTGTGGCCGCAAGCGCAAGGAACCGGCGTCAGAAGCTCCACCGCCATCGAGTAAAGCAGTGCGAACTGGCGAAGTGATAGCATTAGACAACATCCCAGCGACCTCATGGAGAATTCTGGTTGCGAGGATGTACTAGAACTTTACATGGTTCAGATAACTGAGTTCATATGGCTCAAATCTGCTTTCTTAAATGAGTATGCCAGAAATCTTCCAGACATGTAAGATATGTCTTCGGAACTTTGCGATTGAGCGGAGTACTCCACAGCTCTCGATATTTCTGGGATGGGTTTGTGATTTGTATAGATCTTGGTCGAGTCGCGATGATTATGCTTAAGTGTGTCCCTACAGTAGACCCGTCCCTAGAGCATGGTCTTCAAAGTGCCTAACCGCCTGAGGGACGTTGAAACGATGCATAAAGCAAAATTGCTGAAAATGTTCGAAATAATTACTCTAATTACGTTACTATTGTTAATAGTGCTGTACGATCGTGTAAATTTATAGTTTTGGTGGGGTCTTGGCAAACCCCGGCCACTCACTTGGGCCGGCCACTCGCTTGTGGAGTACGTTATGGCATTGCCAATCGGACTAATATTAACGGACAGTGCTATTGGCCGCTAAGCGATGACAGATGAAACTGACCTAGGCACCTAGGTTTTGTCGATGTTCTCCGAGTACTGGATCGTTCCCACGTCATGTTCCCTAGGATTGCTTTAGATCACCTCCCATACAGTCACTCCGCACTCACTAAGGTTTCACTCCGTACGAGATATATAAAGCTGCATACTCTCTACATATCGGCATGCATCTCATCACCACGCCCCGCCTCCCAAAGTCCGACATCTTTTCTCGACCATGAAAGAAGCATTCGTCCACAGCGCTGATAAGGTTTGACTTACAACGGCATTCGAGTTGTTCAATAAACTAAATCCCAAAAGGTAGAAATAAGAGATGTGCCTATTCCTACACCAGGCCCTGATCAAGTGGTGATCCGGGTCGTAGCTAGCGGGTGCAACCCAAAAGACTGGTAATTCATATCGTGTGCTGCTTGCGCCTCATACTAAGAAACCTTCCAGGAAGTTACCAGAGATTTTCAAAGCAGCTAGCAATTCAGGCGATGATATTGCTGGCTTCGTGCACGCTGTTGGTACCAACGTTTATGAATTCAAGCCGGGCGATCGTGTTGCCGCATTCCACGAGATGATGAAGCCAGGCGGCAGCTATGCAGAGTACGCAGTCGCGTGGCAATACATGACTTCTCACATACCAGACAACCTTAGTTTTGAGGAGGCTTCGACGATTCCTTTGGCCGGACTGACAGCCGTAGTTGGCAACTACATTCGGCTGGGATTGCCTGAGCCATGGAAACCTGCAGCTGAGAAAGTACCGTTTCTTGTCTACGGCGCAGCATCGGCTGTGGGTGCATTCGCGATTAAACTGGCGCGCCTGTCGAACATCCACCCTATTATTGGCGTAGCCGGAAGGGGGATTCCGTATGCCGAATCGCTCATCGACAAAACCAAGGGAGACGTGATTATCGATTACCGCAATGGAAATGAAGCAGTGGTGGCTGGAATCAAAGATGCTCTCGAAAACGCTGGAGCCTCGGATATCTACCACGCCTTCGATGCCGTATCCGACAAGGGAAGCCACACTGATGTGGTCGCTGTTCTCGCACCGGAGGGCCAAGTCACCTATGTTTTCCCTCTGGAACAAACAGCCCCGCCTGGGTTCAGCTATCCCAAAACCTATAAGTCTGCTCAGTTCAGCAATGTTGGGGACGCTTATGGCGAAAATAGACAGCAAGGATTCATGTATCTTCGATGGCTATTCCGGATGGTGATGGAGGGAAAGTTTACAGCGCATCCACACGAGGTCGTTCCAGGCGGACTTGCAGGGGTGAGTCAAGGACTGCAGAACTTGAAAGCAGGAAAAGCGAGCGCAGTAAAGTATGTCTACAAGGTACCTGACACAGAGGGTGCCGGACAGGATTGAAGGGCACAGAGTAACTACAGTGTACCCCACGGGTGAGCTGTTTATGATTCTAAAACCCTAAGAAACCATTACTCTACACGAAGGAATTTTAGTACACCATTTTGTCTGGAATCTGTTGCTGCATATTGCTTACATATAGGTGCGTTAAACTCGTTAAGAGCTGTTGAGATATAGTAGAGTAAGCGCTTACGATAGCCTTCCTTAGCTCTTTTCTATCCTCGTTTCTGGCAACCTTGCGCAATAGTGTCTTTATAGTGGTAAAGTTGTGTCGCGTTGGAGTTAGATGAAGGTATTTATGATTTTTAGATAACGTCTATCGGCTGTAAGCGAGAAATGCCCCTTAGCAAGATAATTAGTGTTACGAACCTGAAGAGAGGGACACGGACGACTATGTAAGAAGAAGATGGCAGGAAGATACCCAGATGTAACACGAGATGGCAAGGCTGAGCGAGAAGGACGATTATAGTCCCAACATGTTTGCTTCTCTCGCTTTGCGCCTTAGCCTAAGAACCTGCTTATAACCTGCGCCCCGCGTGTAAGGAGATAGGCAAGAATTGTTCCTACTAATTAGGGATGTTCGAAGAGAAAGAGTCGAATTTAATCTTGGTGCGAGGTCATATAGCATAACCAGCCCTCCGATGCCTGCCGATCGGGGTGGATCTCTGCGAGCGTAGCGTCTCGCATCCTGACTACATGCTCTAGCAGCCTCACAGCCTCCTTGATCTGTCCATTCGCTTCTTAGGAAACACTAAGCGCATGCTTAGACGACAGCCGATCTGGATCATCTTCGTCCAGCCCCTCTCTGCAACGGTAGCACTCCTCTAGCCATCTCACTGCTTCTGGAACTCTACCGTCGAAATATAGGCATCGTCCCACCCGAAAACTTATCTTGGCTCTGCTTTGAGCATTAACAGATGTTTTTGTGTCGGGTAGTCGCAGTGCGTGCGGCATGTATGCTCTCTATACGGCCTGGTTGGCAAAGTCGTCGCTTGGGAAGACCTCGGCAACATGCACTATAGCTTGTTGAGTCACATCTGCAGCACTACTATGCTTGTCTACCCAGATTCTGGTAGCTAGATGCACAAGCCGATGCAGGTCGTACCATTCTTCTCCTCCATCGACCTCACTAATGTTGTCGCCTTCCCGCCTCGACACAAAGAGTACCCACAGAGCGTGCCGATAGCTTCTTCTATCCGCTCTTGCGACTGCATCTCTGGTAGCAGCGACTGCGGTATTGCCTTCCACTTAATGCACGACATGAACGGCGCATGTACGGTTTGTTGCCGGGTGAACAACTTCAATGATCAGTCAGTTCATGAACGCGAGATGGGTAGAGCAACAGACCAGGAACCGCTGCCATTCCCACCAATAGTAGCGAGCAGCTGCTTGGGCTCGAATCTCATTCTCCATTGTGGGATCGAGTGGCAAGTAGCAAAGCAGATAAGGTTTTACCGAGGTGGGCAGAGCATAGTACAGCCTGCTGAGGCCTTGCAGGCTAAGGAACCTTTTGTGATGACCATGGATTGATTCTGATGCTGTCAAGGGTAACCAAATTCAGAATACAGATGTGCTACTATTATTAGGCTGTTACGGCGCTTGTTTCTCGGTAGGTAGCTGACATCTGGGGTGGTTACAACCTCAACGAGTCTACGCCACACGTTTGCATATCACATGCATACAGCGCTTAAAGACGTGGCAGTGCACCAGTATGAAATTTGACCTATGCGGGTTTATTTACATGTGCCGTTGGTACGCGATTGGTCCGTAGTATTTGAGCGACACTGTACCGCAATGCGTACAGCCTCGCTGTCCTCTGCGAAACGCTCCCAATCTCCAAACCCTCCAGAAATAACCATGAGATCCACAGCTACGCCGTTCGCACCGGAGCATTGCCTGTAAGAATGAGATTTAGCTCGTAGTGCTGCTAATTTAACGTACCATTCGAGTGCAGCGGGGCCATTGGGTGCACTTTCCGGTATTCGAAGTTTTGCTATCTGGTCGCCTGGACAATTCATTGGGTTCGCAAGTACAGACAGTAGCAAGAACGTGTCGTTCTGGAAACTCAACGTGGCTTGGCAGCTTGAGTTGCGGAAATTGCTGAGCCTATTTTTTGGTGAGAAATCTACCAGACTTTTCCGCGTACGGGGCCTACTGGTAGTGAAGCTCTTCCCCAGCTTTCGCATGGACCACCGGGCTCGTAAGAATCGGCAACATTTGATCAAAGGGGATAATTTGGGCGGAGCACAAGCTCAAAAAGAACCACGTATATACCAGCATATTAGACAGCGCAAAGGTTTAGGGCGGGCAAGTTCTGCTAAGTATATGTGTAATGATAATAGTGCTGTTAGAGAGATTGCCACCGCCAGCGAATCTTATATTACTTCAAGTCCTCTATAGTCTAATCGAACAGGATTCCGCATTTCTTGATTCGCGAATCCTGTCCTTTGCGACATGTTGCCGTGTTTACGTTGTCTAATGTAGCACGGTATCCTGCTCCTGCTCCCGGCTCCAGAAGCTGTTTCGTGTACACCATTCATGTAGGCACACGTGCGCATATATGGCCCAGAGAAGGTACCACTAGAAGATTGGTCACTTCGAGCATGTACCCCAGCTATCCAGGCTACACGCGCCATGACCATCTTTCTATCCGATTTGCAGTCCCCAATCAGCAAATAGTAAGGATCATCCTTAACCATTGCGAAGACGAAGATAATCTGCGGTTTAGAGCTGCAGGCAACACCTTGTATCCACGAGTCCGCGAGCTCGCGCGTCTGATGTCTCGACATCGTATTCAGCTTACGACCATGAAGACCAGCGAACTCGGTGTCACTCTTTTTCTACCCCCGCTACTATGTCTAGCCCCTAAATCGATCTTGGCGAGACTCTGTCCCCGCCTTAGAAGACTAAAAGCGTATTCGCCTTAATTAGAAACAATTAAGGAAGGGCCAGAAGAAGATCCGTCAGAGGGCGAGTGGATCACTCTATATGAATATATGCCTGTCGACTCAAAACGGCGTGTAATGTACGTAGTCTCGGATGAGCCTTGTGGGTCTATACGATTGCACGCATAATAAGGGACCAAGGCAATGTAGGTATTGTTCTCCTGACGTGCGTCTGCGTATTCGTAGAGGGTTCGCTAGTGCGTTCGTGGATGGTACGAAGGCCTTAATATGGAGAAGACTAGACTAGGCGGGTAAAGGCTGCCACAGGTCAATGAATTGAAGCCTTGAGAGGTACTAGGCGTAACAGGAGATAGTGTTCCGTTGCAGTACCTTTGAATGCTCCTAGCTCAGATCCAATATAGAACTCAAGTTACATGGATACAAAAATGACACCATCGCGTAAGGGAGATAGTGACAAGACGCGTGTGGAGGTTGTCGATGCGCGCGCGTGTGTGTGTTCATCGTAGTTCCTGATCAGCAGCACAGTAACGTCCATCCCTGCGTAACGGGACACCCTGCGTGACGGGACGCCGCAGACACTCCCTAACATAACAAACTCCACAACAGGTTAGAAGCATAGATATTCTCGGAATAGTAGCCTTAAGCTATATAAGTCTATTCTCTCCTGACGTCTTTTAGATATAGGTCCTGCTTACTGTGCAATACAACAATTTGCTATGAGCGTCGCACGGCCGCCTCGCTTTAGCTCGCAGTGGGTGCGTTAGAAGCTCGTGCATCTCGTTAAAAGCTCGTCAACTTGCAGCTTGTTATATCACTATCCTATGCCGAGCACTGCGCTTGAGCGCAAGAGGTTGTCGTGCCTCTGTGCTAAATCTAAGTCCGCCTGCTAGAAGTGGCAGATAATGAGGACCCACACACCTAGGTTAAAGCAGCTTAGCTGCAATCTATTGCTGCTGACACTGGATCGGTGGCTATGTGGCTGTGTAGGAGTCTAGATCGGCCATTCTCACGGGGCAGTGATTGGTACTTTCGGTTTCGCTGTTGCCACCCCCCTGCCGCAGCGTGCCGCTAGCGCAGCGATCGAGACCGACGGCCTCTGCGGCGAAATGCAGACTTCAACCGATGACGTGCGGGACGACACCTTGGATATGCTTCTCGTTCCAACGTCGACCTTCACTGCAGTATTTGAAGTCTGAAGGAGTGCGCGCAACCTCGTGGACGCGCTCCGCTCGTTCTGGTGGCCCGGGATCGACACTGACATCATGAGTCGGCCATCAATCGCGCGCGAGGAGAGGCAGCGGGAGCGGGAACAGATGAAAAGAAACCGCGATGTCTTACTGCTCTACGGCTCGGCCTTTGCCAACATCCCCTACATTGAACATGTGCCGAAACATTGCCCACGGCCGTCTCCAGATACTGTCCTTACAGCCCTGTGTCAACTGGCCGCCATCCGACTCAATGCTGAACGATGCATGGTCTCGCTCCTAGACGAAGAAAGCGGTCGCCAACACTGGCTTTCTGAAGCTACGCGCGATCTTGCACTTCGTCCAGAGATGCCAGGAGATGCGCCCGAGACTCTTTGGTTGGGAAACGTGAGTACTCCACGAAGCTGGGGCTTGTGTAAAGAGCTGCTGAGCTTGTCCCCCCGAAGACGAACCAGTCTTCTCCATCGACGATCTTACCAAAGATGGAAGATCCACCTTCCGAGACCACATCAAGGGCATCCCTGAGATGCATTTCTTCGCTAGCACGGCGCTCAAGAGTCCCAATGGTTGCATCGTCGGCTCCATGTGTGTGTCTTTGACGGCAAGTCACGTGATGGGTTAACCAAAGAAGAGGTTGTTCTCTTACGGGGTCTAGCAGCCACCGTTATGGACCATCTTCATACATACACGGTTCAGGATTGTTACCGGCGCGGGGAGCGCTTCACTCGCGGCCTTATCTCATTTGCCGAAGGCGCTGCAGTCATATCGCCACTCGACACAGGCAGCAACATCGATCCCACCCAGAAAGATGCAACGAATGTAGTACATCTACAAAGCACCTCAGCTCATTCACCTCCTAGACCTGACGCGTCTAAACCTGCCATGCCCTCCG